CATTCACTTTTAAAACATTTACAATATGTTTACAAAAAAGTTACATACAAAATATGTGTCAATTTATATAACATTCTTGAAATGACAAAATTATAGAAAAGGGATTAATGGTTGCCAGGGCATTAGGGATGTGTTGGAGGAGCACAATGGGGTAGAGGTGAGTGTGGTTATAGAAGAGCAGCACGTGGGATCCTTGTGATGGGATGGCAGTACCCCGTGACTGTTGTGGACGATACATGACCCCACACATGATAAAATTGCATAGAACTAAATACCACACACACACACACTGGTGAAGGCTGAAAAAGATTGGAGAATTATATCAGTGTGAGTTTCCTGGTTGTACTATTATGCTATAGTTTTGCAAGATGTTACCACTGAAGGAATCTGGGTGAAAGGTATATAGGATCTCTCTGTATTATTTCTTACAACTGTATGTAAACCTCCAATGATCTCAAAGTAAAAAATTTAATTTAAAAAAATAGTTCTGGTTGCTACTTGTGACCACGGCTACAGAATAATCAGCCTTTTTCTAGGAGTGTGAAGACATTTTTATTTTCAGCTTGAATTTCGTGCACTGTCATCCTCCAGGGGGGCATACTCGGAGTGGGGCTTATTTTACTACAACCACCCACTTTCAAGTGTTACCAGCATACCATGGAGCACTGTCTGTAAACCAAGTGTGAATATATTCTTTCTCAATCAGCTGGCTCTTCAGAAAGGCCCACTGAGGACTGAATCTCTTTTAATGCTAAAAGGGACCAGATGCAGCGACTTTTCTATTACTTAAGAAGGGATATCTTGGTCCGAGATCACTGAACCCTTAAACATTTCACTAATAGTGAAGACCCATGAATTTTTGTGTGATTTAGTCCCACCCTCTGCCACATGTGCATCTGATCAAACTGTCTAAAGTAGTTGCTAATTCCTGACCCCCAGATCCAATCAACATGGTATCATCAATATAATGGACCAGCATGATGTCCTATGAAGAAGAGAGATGATCAAGGTCCCTGCAATAGTTGCTGAAATGGCCCTGAGTGAAGGCGTATTGGTGGCCCTGCCAAGCATTCCCCAGGACACCTGCAGATGTCTTGTGTTTGCTCCGGCAATAAAACTACACCAGGAAGAAGAGTTGCAATTACAGTCACCACCTGATTAAATTTACAATAATCTACTGTGATTCTCCAAGGTCCATCGGTCTTCTGCACAAACCGAACAGGTGAGCTGAATGAGGATGTGGTAGAAATCATTACTCCTGCATTATTCAATAATTGGGTGGTTGCACTAGTCTCTGAATTTCTCCATGAAGATAATATTGGTCGTGGTTTACTATTTTGGTAGATAGAAGCAATTCTGGTAGCTTCCACTTATCCTTTTCTAGCATAATAGACCTCACTCCATGAGTCAGGAAACCACTGTGGGAATTCTGCCAGTTTTTTCATTTGTCTATTCTACCTCTGTATTCTGGAACTGGAAAAATAGTCAAAGGTTGGTTTAGGGACCACTATGAAAGAGACCCATGCCAAAACCTTGCTGAGCACCTCCATAAGCCTGTTCTCTGACTGGTGATTCACAAAGGCATTTGGGGTCTTTAGAAATTAGTGTAATTCAGAGCCAGTGCCCAGTAACCAAACAAAAAGACCTAACTATTTTTCAGACTTTTTTTCTCTATTTCATAGTCACTCTAGGAGACGGCCACAGGTAGCTTTGGGGGGAGGCAAAGAGGAAGATACGTATGTACAGTACAGATTTTTGGCTATGTAGCAAGGAACTTCCTTAAACACACTTAGTCCTCTGCTTTCAAGAAGCTCTGGGTCAGTGAGCTGGCTCAAGTCTGGGGATTAGTTGAGATGCTTGTGATATTCAAGACCTCTGGTCACCAGAAATAGAATGCTTCCAGTTATACAAATCAGTTATGACTTTAGCGCATAACTCAACCTTTCACAGGGGTCGCCTAAGACCTTCGGAAAACACATATTTTCGATGGTCTTAGGAACCGAGACACCGCTCCTCTATCCGTTTCCAGGCCCACATGCAGATACGCCCACATACAAGTACCCGGCGACCCACAGGTTGAGAACCGCTGCTTTAGCAGATGGCCCATCTATTTCAGTTCCAGGGACACCGTGAACAATTAACCAAAGTCAAAGACCTCTATTCATCAAACTATCTTGAGTTCTGCCTCAACTCTGATACCCATGACAGTAACCAAGCCCACCTTATCTCTGGTAGCCTGGCTTCTCCCACCCTATCATCACCTTGGAATTTGGGGATCCCAGTTCAACAACAGCGGTTCCCACAGTCATTCTGGGTCTACAGCAAATGGCCACTACAGCCTCTTCAAAGATGCCAGTGCTCCCTCGACCCAATGTATTTTTCAAAGCTTTGGTGGAATTTGTGTTCTCTGCATTCTCCTGAGACATACTTAGGGGGTGATACACCAGTCTCACATAATAAATCTATTCTATCTTCTGACTTCCCTAAGCATTGGATACCTTCTTCCACAGTATACCAAAGGTCTGGCATCTCAACTTCACTTAGTAAAGGCCACCACTAAGTTTATATTTCAATTCAACCAACTAGGCAAAGAGTTAAAGCCACTTCAATAGGCTTGATCTAATACACTGACATTAGAATCTCTACTTAGTTCATCCCATCAACAGTCATCCAGGCCCAATATCAATAAGTTCCTTCTACCCTACACCAACACCTTCAAGATCCATTCTCATTCATGGCTCTGTTGATATAAATTAGCAAAAATATTGCAATTATTTTGGTATATACTGCAATTCCTCATAGGTCACACTTACCTCTGGGACCTACTGGGATTTGAGTCTGGTTATAGATCTAGAAGCAATTAAGGGGCAGGGGTCAGAAGTCCTCTGCAAAAGAACTACCTCAGAGGATCCCATCACAGGTTCTTCAGGCCAGGGAAGACTAACCTCCTCAGATAGGGAAAGAAGGTCTGCTGTTACTGGCAAAGGAGGATTGAAGGAATTTAATAGTTCAAGTCTGTTTCACCAGAATCCCCCAAATATATTCCCATCCCAATTTTCACCGTCCCAATTAATACCTTAACTTTATATAAGAGACCCTCCCAGGCTTGGGATTCAAGATGCATTGCAAGCCACCAAAAGGATTGGGCAATGGTTTGGTTTTTAGAAATCTCAGACATGAGGTTACATGAGATAAGAGTTTCTTTTATGGCATTCATAGAAGATTTCTATATCCTTACTTACACCATAAGCTTAAAATGTGAAGTCCAAAGCTCATCATCTTCTTTTCCTAAGTTCTTTAGTGCACTTAGAAGCAATTAACCCCATTAAACTCCTTCTTTCCACCAATAGGTTCCAGCAAATACTTGGTCACCTAAAGTCTTGCCTGTGATTACAGATATCTATGGGTAATAATATAAGTAACAGGTATGCCATAAATGATCCCTTATAATTAACATTCTTAACCACTTACAACATGGTAATACCTTTAAATATATTCAGATTAGAGAACCAATAACAGATAACCCACATCAGTTTATAGAACCTAAGTTTAGACTCCCCTGAACCCCATTCCAATGCCGATATCTCTGTTATTTAGAGTTCCATCAGGAAAGCAGAGCCACTAAAAGTGATGAAAACAAGGGATTTATTATAATGACTTATCTTATAAAACTGTGGGAACTGGTGAAGAAATCCTCCCTAGATCCTTCTTCTTGTTGATTTCTTTTGTTTTGTTTTTACAATCCAGGAAAGCAGGATGATGTATGGAAAGGTCATGTGATTAGAGTCTAACTGATATGTGTTAGACAACTATTGCATTGTTGGAAAAGTCATGACGCATTTTTACAACGAAAAACATAGGAAAAATACATCATGACTTTTCCAACAACCCAATAGTTCTGATATTTATTGGCTATGAAATCTTGTCAAGTTACCACAGTTCCCTGAGCCTCAATTTCCTCATCTGTAAAATAGAAACAATACTTCTCAGGATTGACGTGACGGTGAGTGAGATAAAGCACGTACCTGTAATACGCCACTGATTAGAATATTTCATTGATGCCCAATATTTCACATTTTAACCTCTTTACAACAGGAATGAATCCTGTAATCAATCAATGGCATGTTATTGAGAACACTTTTTCCTTTCTCAGTGCACATAAAATAATGAGAGCCCAGAGTAACATCTCTAATAATGACAAGTACAGATATCATTTTATTATCAAACCAAATGTGACTCTCCATGCACAAAGTGGAAAACCCCAACACCCCCATTCACCTTTATACATTGCATTCCTTTCTCTATTCATTGCACTAACCCTTCACCCTACTCCCCTTATTATTCAGATTAGTGGAATGGAAAAAGTATGAGTTTCAGAATCTGACATATTAAATTTTGGATCTTGCTGCTATGTGACATTCTGAATTTCAGTTGAGTGTTCCATATTTGCATATAATAATACTTACCCAGGAGAACTATTAAAAAGATTAAATGATATGATCTATGCAAAGTCCTATCAGTGCCAAACATACTGTGGGTATTCAATATCTAATCTCCTACTGATTATTTGGATTGAAGGAAGGGCTGATCTTCTAGATTGTGTGTGTGTGGGGGGGGGGGGGTTAGCAAACTACGGCCCTCAGGCCAAATCAGCCCAACCCCTGATTTCATAAATTAAGTTTTACTGGAACACGGTTGTACTCATTTGTTTACATTTTGTCTATGTCTGCTTTTGTGCTATGACAGCAGAGTTGAATAGTTGCCACAGTCAGTATGGCTCCCAAAGCTGAAAATACTTACCATCTGGCTATTTACAGAAAGTTGGCTGATCCCTGTTCTAGATCACTATAGTGTCTAAAAATACCCCCACTCTCAATGTGTGTTACTGTTATGCCTCTAGAGAGCTGCGTTAGAAGAGAAAGGCGCATTCCCCGTCCTAGAAGCCAGGACTCCTGGGCGCTGAACAGAGCTGCCACACCAGCAGAGCAGAGAGGAGAGCTGTGAGAATTTCTGATGAGGATGATAAGCCAGGCCAGAGTGAAAGACAAAAATGTAGTTTCTGTGGTTTCCAGCCCTCCCCGTCTTTCTTCTACTTCTGCGGTTATAAAAGCAGGGGCTGACAGAAGAAGCTTACCATGGGCAGCATCACTGGCAAAATGCCGGCCCTACTCCTGTGGTTGGTCTTTCTCTTGCCTGCTGAAGCTGGAGCTGGTAAGTCTAGGGTGTAACTCCCTGTCCTCTGGGTCCTCAGCTCCTATTCCAAACTTACTGACCTGAGTCAAAGAAGACCCTACAATGAGACTGTAAGAGCCCATTGTGAGTGTTCTGGTGGGGTGGGGAGGGGGAGAAATCTCTATCTGGAAGAGTCATACTCTTTCCCAGCAGTTAATAACAGTTTCCCAGGAACAAGAAGTCTTGGGTGGAGAAAGAATCAGAAAACTGGCATTGGAAGTATCTCTTAACCTGCTTTCCTCAAAATATCCACAATTCTGTATCCTGGTCATTCTCTGGCCTTGACCTCGTGTGGAGGAGGTCGGGATAAGAATATGAAGAAATGTGTAAATGACAACTCAGAATCCAGACTAGCCATTGTGTTCTGAAAAGTAAGATGAGGACTGACAGGGTGGATTGGGGTAGAGACATCCCATAAAAAGGATACATTGGAGAGGCTGAGCTATTGTGCATTACAGGTAAGGCTGAGACTGGGCGTCGGAGGGTCCCTCCGCTTTCACCTTATTTTCCTCATGAATGCCCAGTGCTCTGTTTGAAGGCTCAGTGAGCCTATGTTTGGGAACCTTGGGTTCTCTGTTTCAGGTGAGATTATCAGTGGCACTGAGTCCAAGCCACACTCCCGCCCCTACATGGCCCATCTGGAAATCATCACTGAACATGGTGATGTTGCCAGCTGTGGTGGGTTTCTCATAAGTCAAGAATTTGTGGTGACAGCTGCTCACTGTCAAGGAAGGTAAGAAAACTTTGACCTTGTTCTCTTTTCATTGAGGAGTTGTAGGAGACAGAGTTATACACAACTTTAAAGTGACCTGAGGAGAGATTTTTGTGCCCTTCTCATCTCAAGATGATCAGTGATGTATATTGGAAGGAACCAACCATATTTATTGGCCATCTCCATCTCCCGAGGCCGGGGCTTTACTCTACGTAGCCCAGGTCAAGGCAGGCCAACACTGCCCTGCCCCTCTCATCCTGGGGCCAGCAGAGCTCTCTCAGTCTGCCTGCCAGGGCCTGGCCCTTCCTGCAACGGCTGTGATCCCTAGGGGGGAATTCTGGCCTGAGTAAGATCTGAGTTCCTCAGGTAGCTCTGCACTGGTGAAGAGGGCCTGATGTCCCTTTGTGCACAATGGGTCCTTCTCAGACCAGCACCTTTTCCTGACTCTCTCTTCCCTCTCAACAGAAAAATTACTGTCACTCTTGGAGCTCATAACGTGAAAGAGGAAGAATCCACATGGCAGAAGCTGGAAGTCACAAAACAAATCATTCATCCGAAATATAACCCTTTCACCGATCTCAATGACATCATGTTACTGAAGGTGCCATTCTCTTTCTTGTACTTCTCAATTTCCCCTTCTTTAGCCCTTTCCCTGACCTGCACCTTTCTCATTCTCGCTCTTCCTACCCACTTCCTTGGGGATCACCCAGCCACTCCACATCATCACCACCCCATTAGTGAGAAACCCTTGGCCCTGACTAGGGGACTCTACCACACCACACCCCCCCACTTTCCCTGGGACTGGCGGTTCATCTACTCTCCCTCTCTTATAGCTACAAACGAAAGCCAAGCTGACCCATGCTGTGGGAACAGTGTCCCTGCCCACCAGGTCTACCTTCATTCAACCTGGGAGAGTGTGTCGGGCCACCGGCTGGGGGAAAACAGGACTGCAAAAGCCAGGATCAGATACTCTGAGAGAGGTGAAGCTGAGACTCATGAATGCCAAAGCCTGTGAATACTATCCATTTTACAACTATAACCTGCAAATCTGTGTGGGCAACCCCCGGAAGAGAAAATCAGCATACAAGGTACTGCATACCTATACTTCCTCCTCACAATCAGTCCCTGGGGGGCAGCATCCTCCTGGGAGAAAGTGGGCTCAGGAAGTCCCCTAGTATGTTGACTGGTGTCTGCACTCATTGGTTTCTAGGACTATGGGAAATGAAATCCTCCTTCTGGGTTCCATCGTCCCATACCCAAGTCCTGCCTCTACCCCTCCCATCTAGTCTGCTGTACAGGGTTCCAGGAGAGAAAAAGGAAGAAGATGGAGGGGGACAGGATCTAGAGTGGTGGTTCTATGTCAGAGAGCGAAAGAAGACGTTAAGTCCCTAACTTATGACTCTATTAGGAGCCAGGATTCCTGGCCTGATTCAGGGTTATCTTGGTGCTAGCCAGGAGGCTGATAGAACCAGGATGAGGTGACAGTAGGGACACAAGGATGACCCCTGCTCATGATCTGCTTTCTGTAACCCACAGGGGGACTCTGGGGGCCCCCTTCTGTGTGCTGGGGTGGCCCAAGGTGTTGTGTCATACGGACGTGTAGATGCAAAGCCTCCTGCTGTCTTCACTCGAATCTCCCCATATGTGCCCTGGATTAATAAAATCTTAAAGAGGGAGTAGCCACAGAAGCCTGGACAGCCTCAGGGAGAATCCCAAAGCCGGAGCTCTCCCTAGGTAGCCCCTGGGTTCCATGGAAGCCTGGCCCCAGCCTGAGCCCAGGGAGGCTCCCACAGGCACACAAAGCCCCTGCTGATTGTACCCCCAGCAAAGTTCAATAAAGATGCAGCTTCCAATATGCGTGCATGAGACTCTTCCCTCTCCCCTAGAGCTCCCCCAGAGCTGGTCTGTTCTACGAGGAGAAGTCCAGGTCCTCCTCTCTGAAGAACAGCACTGCGCTCCTGTCTTGCCAGATGAATAATCTTACCTACCAGTTTTCCTATACATTGTATGTGTTGTGGGTTAAAAAAGAAAAATATTTCAATCTGCATAATAGGATTTAACATCCAGAATAATACTGGCACTAATTTACCTTCTTTATCCTCTGCCCCCTCTTCTTCTTCCTCCTCCTTCCTTACTCCCACCCCTTCTCCTCTCACTTCTCATCTCCCCTCAAACCCTGTGCCTCAACCACTGCAATTCAGGGCACAGATGCACCATAGCAAATTCCCCATGACTGTTTTTGGAGATGGCCCCAAGCCTGGGCTATTGATACCTTGTGTCCTTACACCTACCTCAGCCCTCAATAGTGTTTCTACAGCCAGAGCAGCATCTGCCAAGCGGGAAAGAAGAAAATTTCTTAAGTACAAGCACTCAGGATAGGGGGGTGGGGGAGAGCTGGAAGTCCTCAGGATGGGTCTGCTGCAGCAGTCACCATGGGGCTACCTATTGGGCATGGCCATTCTAGCCCAGGAGAGGGGTCCCCAAGAGCATCAGAGCCACCCAAGTTCAACATTCAACTTCCTTCAGAAATGACACAATGTCCCCAAGTATTCCAGAGAAGCAATACCTGAGTTGGGCTAAGTTCTCTAAAATTTCCTTCAACTTACCTGCAATGCTCTGAATCCCGTACCCACCAGCATCTGAGCTGGATGAGTACACTGACAGCTATACACAACCAAATACAAGGGAAACAGGGCATGACTTCCAACTCCGTCTCAGGAGCCTGCCATTAAAGCATGCCCTTACAGGTCCACCACAGTCTCGAAGAGGCCTAATAAGATAGGCTTGGCCCATGCAAGAAAGAGCTCCTACCATTGGTCCAAGATCAGGGAGCCAGCACCTCCACCTTCCCCATTGTCTGCCAGCCCACAGATCTGAGCTTCTGGCTTTCTTACCGATATATACAGATGTAAAATAAAGAAAGTGTAGTATACAAGGTTGATTGTAAACTCTGACTCTATGCAAAAAAAACAAGCATATATGCAAAAAAGAAACCTGTACGATCTCAAAAATAAGAGAACATATGCTGGAATAATAATAAAAAGATTTTATTTTTGTCCTAACTTTTGTTTTATATGTGTATAATTAAATAAGAATTTTTTAATGTGAGATACAAGAGGCAGAAACGCTATGTGTCTAGGAAACCAGTGCACACACTGTATTGACGCTAAAGCCCCATCCACTCTTGACCCCCAGGCCCTAAGGATAGCACATCCAAAAGCATCCCTTCTTCCCTGGAAGCTAGGCAACTGGAGATGTGGGAGAGTAGCCAACCTGTATTGCCAGCCTGGCCCCCAAGCAGTAGCAGGGCCAGCGGACATTGCAGGCAGCCGGGCTGAGCCTCTAGGCTAAATCAGACCACAAGGGGTTAACAGGCACTGACTCCAACACAGCCACCACTAAAGACCAAACAAGCATCACATGGACCCCTAACATGGAAAAAGCAGTTGGTGGCCCAGCCACCCAGAGAAGATAAGTGCATCATCATCAGGACAGTGTTGGTTCTGCCATGCAGAGGGTAGGGACCATGGACCATGGACCATGGGCCATGGAGTATGTCCGCCTGACCAACACCAAGAGTGATAAGAAAGTCTCAGCATCACATGGTCAGCAGGAGAAACCGTTCAGATAAGAGGGCTTTGCCCAAACTTGTGGGAAGAGGGCATCTGGAGAGCTGAGGGCAGCATACAGGGAAATAAATGCTAAAGAGCTAGTTCCTCCTGTGGTCACGGTTGTTGGGGTCCAGGTCTAAAAGTCCAACAGGAAACTGCTCCTCCCATCCCACTCCAATGTTAGGCCCTCCCCTGGGAACCTGGGGATTGTCTCTCCCCGGCAACTTTTGCCCTCACATATTCATGCACTGTTCCCTGCTCCTGAGCCCACTCCATGAGCTGCTCCATCTCTAAGGCCTTGCCCTACAATAAACTGCCAGCCTGCAGGAAATTGGCATCACTGGAGTGAAGTAAGAGAGATGCCTGGGTGCAAAATTTAGGGAGGCAATCTCTTAAAGAGGTACTTACATGACCCTGGGAGTGAGCGCCTCCTCAATTGTGGACCCTAGAATCTTCTCTTTCCTCCCCCTAGTCCCAGTCCTGACTAGCACACTTGTGAGTAGTCCTGACTCATAGCTGTTGTCTACCTGGCCTGTAGATACTTTAAATGAACTTATACTCAAAGTCACCATCATAAAGGACACTTCTATTCCTCATCACCAAGTAAGAGCCAAGCAAACTTACAGAGGAAAGAAAACTGAGGTCTGAAGGTAATATATTTATAAAAAGCTGGAAATGGATGAAGTTTTTAACTGTGCTGTGGACTTACAATTAATCCAGGGGATGCAAATTAAATGTAAGGTGAGCTGTATTGCTTCCCTTGTAGGTCTACAGTCTCAATGAGTCAGCACCATGTCCATGAAGCAGATCATTTAACCAACCACACAGAATTCAAGAGAAAGCGCTAACTTTTGTTGAGAGCCCCCTTGGTACTACTTTCCCTACATTGCCTCATTTAATTGTTATGACACCACAATGACAAAAAAATAAAAAATAAAAAAGGAAAGGAAAGGAAAAGAACCTGAAGTCTCATCCATTATACAAAAACTAACTTAAAATGGATCGTAAAACTATAAAACATTTAGAAACAATGGAAGAAAATCTTTGTGACCTACAGTTAGGCAAAGAGTTCTTAGACATGACACCAAAAACACAATCCATAAAAAAAAGAATTGATAAATTGGACTTATCAAACTTTAAAAACCTTTTTTTAAAACTCTGTGAAAGATACCTGTTAAGAGAACAAAAGGACAAGCTACAGACTGAAAGAAAATATATACAAAGCACAAAGCTGACAAATGATTCATATACCAGAACATATAAGGTACTGACAAAATTCAACAGTAAGAAAACAACTGAATTAAAATATGGGCAAAAGACATGAACAGGTATTTCACCAAAGAGGATTTATGGATGGCAAATAAACACATGAAAAGATGTTCAACCTCATGAGTCATTAGGAAAATGCAAATTGAAAACACAATAAAATACTACCACACACATGTTAGAATGGCTAAAATTAAGAATACTGAAAATGCCAAGGGTTTGCATGGATGTGGACCAACTAGAACTCTCGTGTATTGCTAGGGGAATGCAAAATGGTACAGCCACTTTAGAAAATAGTTTAGGAGTTTCTTATAAAATTAAACATACGTTACTATATGACCCAGAATCCTACTCCTGGATGTTTACCTTACGGAAATGAAATCTTAAGTTCACATTAAAAACCTGTACACTGCACACAAATGTTTACAGCAGATCTATCCTTAGTTACCAAAAACTGAAAACAACAGAAAGGTCTTACAAGCGACACTTAGATGGATAAGCCATCATTAAAATGTCAGTGCTTTTACATCAATTCCGTCCCTTTCCTTCCCACTGACATGGAATTCTAAACAAGACCCCATCCAAACTCTGTGGTACATGCATGCAATGGAATACTACTCAGCAATAATAAGAAGCAAACTATTCTTCATGCAACAACTTGGATAAACCTCAAGAACATTATGTTGAGCTAAAGAACAGCCTTAAAAAATTACATATTGTATGATTCCATTTACATGGCATTCTCAAAAAGACAAAACTATAGTTGCAGAAAACAGATCCTGCATGTGTTCTCTGAGTTACTCATTTGAATATCCAATGCATGCAACAATAAAGAGTGGAAACAACTTGAACTTTACAATTAGATAAGCCTGTGTTAGAATCTACGCTCTCTAATTTGCTATTTGACTTTGTGCCTCTATGAATCCAGTTTCCTCATCTGTAAAATAACAGTGGACTACTGTGAGAAACTTTTTATTTTTAAATTATCATGATTTCTTTTGTTGTACAGTTCCATGAACTTTAATGCAGATATACATTCATGTAACTGCCACCACTACTGGGATACAAGTCTCATCACCTCTCCAAACTCCTTCATGTTATCCTTTTATAGTTACAAGTGATGCACGTTTGTATGCCATTGAAAGATACAAGGTTATTTATAGACCTCTCCCTGACCACGTGACACATTCTCCCTATTCTTGAGTTGCATTTCCACCCTCCACATCTCCTCAAGTGCCAACCCATTCTCTCTGAACAACCTGTCTTTGCTCCACCCCTTCCTCCACCCCAAGACAAGGGAAAGGCATGGAGCTGTCCGTGGTCCTGATTTTCTCCTTCTATCCTTCCCCCAAATATGGTTAGAAGCACCACTGAAAACTCCCTAAATGACACCTGGAGGGTTGGCCCTACCCTGTGACTGTTGATACTTTACACCACCTGTCTTGTCAGTTTCATATAACTTGCCCCTTCACGCTACCCCAACAGCCTTACCACAATAATATCTGCAGCTGGGCATCATTTGCCATTCAATAAACAAAGGAATGTCCTTGCAAACAAGAATGTAAAATGTGGAGAAAAGACTAGACAGATGAGACACCCTTATAAGGCCTCCACGTAATATAACAATCCCAGCAGAAGGAGACTATCAGACAATTCTAAAGCTATTTAGAAGACAAGTCACTCCCAATCCAGATACCATATTTTGCCAGGTATAATGCTCACCCATGTTTTTGGCCCAAACGTTCAGGGGGAAAAAAATCTTTCATTTTAATTTTGTAATTCAAATTTTTATTTGTTTACATTTAGGTACTTGTTTTTTGTATTATAAAGGAATTTTAGCATTTATTTTTTTTAATATAGTATAATACAAAAAAATTATGTAACAAATAATTACAAAACACAAGAACAGATACAAGGTACAAGACATTTTATGTACTGGTAACAAATTTACAATATTTATGAA